CCAGTTTGTTAGATACTGCCCGTGCCAGCGTGAACGCTCGTACTCACCTTCCTGTTACAACTGCCGCTTCTTCACGCCGCGCTTCGGTTTCGCAGGTCTGGCCTGTGGGTCGGCGGACTGAGCCGGAGGCTCTTTAAGTATATGGGATAATAAAGCTGGTAATTGATCATCAGGGTTGAACGTCTCCGGGACGAGTACTATCAAATATTGGTACGTACCTTTCGTTTCTAGAACCCAGATTGCATTCGTGATTTTGGCTCGTTCTGGAGTAAATGCCATCAGAGAGCCAGAGCGGCAGTGAGTAACCTGTCAGGCTCGTGATTTAGTGCGCAAGGTGTAGAGTTGATCCCAGAATTGGTAGGAGTTGGCAGAGGAACCGGCACGAGTCCTCAAGTGTGTCTTGGATCTGGAGGCCTTCCTACAGGGTGCTCTTATCAACCCTTGCTGCCAGGATCTTAGGTGGATTGTGCATTGTTTCAAGGCATGGGCCTGGAGATTCGCTTGACAATGGCACCTATAGGCGTCCTGTACATGGGGAACTTTGAAGGCGTCGCACCAATGGCCGCCGCACGCCCCCACTTCCAAAGTTGTCGAGGGCTTGCTTGCGGTTTCTGCGGTTCCGCGACATGGAGCAGCCACCTCACTGTACACATCAATGGGTCCATACATAAGTGATTATACTGCCTTCTAGGTGCGATTACATGGTTTGTTGTACCTGTGTAGCACTTGATTCCTCAACACACTTCTGACTCGGTATCTTCGGGGCCCCGGGTATCCATTACCTAGTCACCTGGACCCGTGATGTGACAGCGGCGTCACTGCTGCTCCGGGAACTTGCAAATCTACGTGCAATTAACAGTGCTCTTCGTGAACACCACTGGGAATCTTTGGAAGTTTTGTGGCGGACATCATGATTTTGAGCCTCCGGCCCCATGTGCCACAAAGCGTTCTGTTCAATCTGGGCTTTAGGGCTGAAGGTTTTGGGGCCAGGTTGGCAAATTGAATTAATTGCTATATGTCGGAAAGCCCGGATGGAAACAGAAACGCTTACAAAACCACAGAAACAGCAATAATTCCCTTCAGGCTAGACTGCGTATGCTTTGGTAGGCCCTTCTGGCCCCATCGCATTTAATTACCCGACATTCCTACTAGACACCGGGCCGCTGCCGCAGCTCGAGGGGCTCAGCGACCCCAGCAGTGGCGGCCGAAGCAGTGGAGCATGTGCGTGTTGTCAATATGGTAGTGGATGTACTGATGGGAGCAAGGTCCGTAAGCCTGCTCACAGCTGTCCCTTGCCTTCATTGCGTCAGAGAAGGACTGCGAGGGCCTCGACATGGAGAAGTGATCGCAGCAAACCCTTCCCGCTGAGGTCTTGGCCATTTTGCCCCGGAGGCTCAGACTTTTGCCGCTTGCTTGCTCCGCTTTGCCAGCATCGTGTGCGTCCTGAGTCACGTTGTGGAACAGCATGCTGCAGTTGACACGTTTCATGTCAATGCCCAGGACGGCGCTCGTGAAGTTCACCAGTCCAGCACTCCGGTTTGCTTCCGTGAAATTCACCATGAGCTTGTCCTGGTCCGAGCAGTACTTTGCCTCGTATTTGTCCAATAGTGGACAGTGGCTCGCGTTGCCGGCAAGCCCAAGGCCCTGCGCATTGAAAGTCAATCCTTGGCACTCGGCTTGATTCTTGGCCTGCACGAACTCTACGTCGAGGGTGCCCTTGGCCTGGCCGGCCATCCTCAACTGCACCCTGGCCAAGCTGCCTGAAAAGCAATGGTCGCCTTGAGAAGGCACGCCATTGCCGCTGCACAGATCTGCGAAGGAGTCACAGGCACTCAGGGCAAGCAGGATCCACAACAGTGCCATCATGACGGATTCGCTGACAAAGAGATCTGCAAGACAAGCCCTCTAGCAGCTCAAAACAGCGGCCAAATGCCTAAACGGCCGCGGGCCCGAGCTCACCGAGTTCAAGGTTCAGGCAGCTTAATACTCCGGAACACCACCTAATTTTCAAGGATGCTGGAAAATTACCACTCAACTTCAGCAGCCACATACCAGAGACTATGAAACCCCAGGTGACGCAAAAGCCTCCATCAACACTGAAGTACTTGCTGCTAGTAAGGAAAGGAAAACGGGTCTCCATAATAGCCCCACGTTTAAGTAGCTTCGCTATTCTTTTCCAACACTTCATTCCCAGCTAACGACGAGTAACTAGACAATGCAACTGCAACAGCCTGCCACCGTCCGAGTCTTGCGTAGGACATGGTGTTGTCGGCCTCCGTGTCGGGACTACAGCTTGACCCTCTGGCCCCCCAGGTTCACCAAGGGCCCCACCCCCCTCATGAGGAAACTTACACTTCTTCGTATCCCTAATTGGAACTGGAAAGCCCCAAGGGCCTTTGGGGGTTGCATGGGCAGTGTCCCTTCCGACTGCCTACCGCCGTGGGCTGGGGAGACTCGCATGAGGATTGCGTGGGGATTCAGTAGAAAGTACCCTGAAAACAGGTACCCTTCTAAATCTTCGGGCCTTCATGTTGAATGCGGCGGGTTTCAACCTTAAACTGGCGCCAGAGCCCAAAACCGTGAGTTTAGGGTCTACAAGGTTTAGGCAGCATTTTCCCAATTCGCTTGCCTCATCATGCCGCCGGCGACCCTTTTCCCCTCTCCGGGAAAGAGGAAGGGGAGCAGGGTAAGGCCCCCGAACCCCAAACTTTTAACTTCCTGAACGTTAAGCCTCGGCCTTGAAACTTCATCCACTTAGCCCAAAATTCTTACGCCTGACTTTAAAGCCCTCTGAGCCACACAGGCCCTGAAGCCTGAAATTTCAACACTCCAAGCCCTGAACCTTGACACTCGGAATCCTGAGCCCTAGATTTGAAACCCAAACCCCAGAAACCCTAAACCCCACATCCTAAACCCCAATCAACCTACGCCCCAGACCCTAAATCCTAAACCTAAGCCCTAAACACAAGACCCTGAACACTAGACAATAGCCCTAAACCCTGAACCTTAGATCCTAAACCCCAGAAAAATTACACATAAGCCCTCAAGTCTAAACAATAAATGACCCAAGCCCTGCCCGTAGGCCTGGATCCGTCGCATCTGTTCGATGAGACCCTGGTGGGTCCTCAGGATTTGGGGATCCCAAAATAGGTTACTTCTAGGTTATACAGGGATATGTAGGGGTATATTGGCACTGGCAAAGGAAAAGGGAAAAGACTAGATCATCTAGGATTTAGGGGAGGAGTAGTACCTCAATTTTTGGCTTTGGGATTTTAGGGCTTCCATGGGGGGTATGGGCTGTTAGGGTTGAACATATAGGGGTTTGAAGGGCTTTAGGTTTGGGGATAGAAGTTTAAGCTTTGAAGTATGGGGGTTAAGCTTTCACGGCTTGGGGTTTGGCAGTGGAGTCAACATCTAGAGTCTAGGCGCTTGAGGAACTTTTTTTGATGATTGGTTTTTGTTTTTGGTAATACATGTTTGTTTCTGATCCCCTGCCCGAACAGGACTGGGGAGAAAGGTCTGCAGGTCAGGGGTCGCCGTTTTGCACAAGGTGGTGTGGTGGCTCTTTGGCCTAACGGGTAAAGTGACTTAACTATACGGGCTGGAATCCCAGAATCAGAAATGGAATAAGAGCTGAAGGCAACCCACCAGCTTGGCTTCAGAGAAAAATTGACATGAGATCTCGCTACCAAGGTCTGACATGTAGGGTGCCCTACGCCGACTCGGGCCATTTCTTATCCATGAGATGCACTCTCCAGAATGACTCTCGTATTCTGGGGATGGAAGCTCTCAAACCCTAGAGAGCAAAGAAACTTTTCTTAAAATATACTCCCCCTGTGTGACCAAGACATAGCCGCACCGCCCGAAAAGGGGCCCCTTAGAATGGTACTAGGAGATTTGAGAACCTCTAGAAGCCAAAATCCCAAAATCCGACAGCTTCAGATTCAACCAAAGAACAGAAATCCAATGTAGCCCCCAAAGGATCCCTGAGACAACTGAGACAAGAATCGCTTGCGATTCCAGCTGCGTTGCTTGCCCCGCGGCCTGGCGTCAATCAGTCGAGGGCTCCAGGTTGCGGAGCTCGGGCTGAGGGCTCATTGATAATGGCTTCATATATTGGGGTAATATGGGGATAATGGAAAATAAAATGGAAACTACTATATTATAGGGGTTATATAGGGTTATATACTGAGGGCTTAGAAGGAGTAGGAGTTAGGGTTTAGGCTTCGGCACAATAAACTTTCCCACCAAAATCTAGTTGCACTTCAACGGAGCCCGCCGAGAGAGTGAGTCTACATTTCAGACCTTCGGCGCTATTTCTAATCCGCGGACCCTCATCTCGCTCGCCTTATATTTAATCCTGCGGCTGATGTCGACAAAACCTCATGATCTCGTTAATCATGCTGGAGTCTGCGTCTGCGATTCCTTGAAAACCATTGACATGACGTATCTCAATCCCCGGACCCTATCCAGACGAATCCTGGTCCTGCATGCAAAATTAATACCTTCAGGGCTGCACTTCTTCTCTGTCTCTCTCATGTACTATAGAGGTGCGGCTGCTTCGTAGGCGTGAAGCCACTTGCACAGCCAGCCCCATAAAACTTCCCGAACTCAAACACCCCAAAACTCTAGTTTCTGGTTCAATGCAATTTTGGTACACAACTGGATCTCCAAGCAAACTCTTGCCTGCATAAACTGCTACATAATCACGCCCCAAGCGCCAAGGCCCTGAACCCTGCGCTCAGCAAGTGTTGATCGCCAAGCAAATGCCAAACCCCCACACCCCAAAGCACTACCCCATCAATGCTAAGCCCGCCAACCCCCAAAAAAACAAACCGTAACAAACTAAACCCAATGCTCCTAAACCTCACATGCTAACCTCAATAACCTAAAGCCCCGTAACCCCAAAACGCCCAGAGCCTGAAGCTCCTTACACCAAAACCCCTACTCTGTATCACACCAAATCTGGTTCCACCTGAGGATACTATCAAAAGTCAAAAGTCTCGTCTTCCTAACTGGGGTTTCGGTAGAACAGATTTTGAAAACTACCCCTGAACCTCAGACTCTAAACCCTAAACACTTAATTCTTAACCCTAAACTCTAAACACTAAGCTTCAAGCCCTAAACCCTGGTTGCGCCAAGAGTGACCCCAAAAACTTAAACTCTCAGATCTCGCGGCTCCTCAGAGCCAGAGACAGAGCTCAGCAAGCCTAAGCCTCGGGAAGCTTTAGGGTTTAGGGTTTACTGGATTTACATATAGATAGATCGATAGATAAATCAAGCTGTGTATATACATATAGGTAGGTATACACCTAGATACATCTTTAAGTACAGTTAGATAGATGGGTAGATAGATACACGCAAAGAGTTTAGCGCTGATGGGTTTTTAGGGATGCATATCTATGTATATGTGTTTAAAGATATGTAGCATTTAGGGCTTAAGGGCTTCTAGGCAGACATGTATACATACATACATACTTACATATACAGTAATGCTCTAGGGATGCACATCTTCATTTATAAATGTATAGGCATAGATATGTATGTACCTATATATATATATGTACATACACGTAGGATTCAAGGCTTAAGGGGTTCTAGGGATGTATCTAACTCGTTTAGGGTTTAAGGGGTACCAGGAATACATCGCTGTTTAGATATACGTGTAAAGCGTGTATGTGTATACATAAACATGTGCCATACTAGCGGCCTAAGGGGCTCTAGGGATATATCTACACATACATGGGATTTCGGACTGAAAGAATATGCCTCATGAGCTTCTCAAAATGATCGGGGTCCCCAGTCGGGATTGTTTCATGGTAACTTGGAGAAATTTCCACTTTGTCATGACATAAACGGAAATTCCCTTGTATAGATGGAAGCCCCAAACGATTATGAGAAAGTGAATCCTACAAAGGGACCCCTCATTAGTTTCTGGAAACCTCCATTAGTGAGACGGGCCTAGGCTTTGGAAGTTAGTGCAGCCCTCTAATCGCCCATAGGAAATTTGCAGGTTCATGCCAAGATTGTAGAAAGCATTCTGGAAGTTCTGAGGGTGGCTGCTGCATTCTGCTCCATTTTCGGGCTTCCTGTCCGCAAAAAAAAATCAGCACGGGCCGTGTTAAGAGCCGTCGCAGGTGTAGTCCAAGGCCAAAGCCATCGGCCCCCACTATGCACACCCAATCCTGGTGTCTGTATAGCTGTTCTATCCAGTTGTTGTTCTATCTAGAGAAGAACCTTCAAAGGGATGCTAGAACACTTAAGCGGCTACGGGTCCGTATCGGGCGCCGATACTGAAAACCTTGGGCTTATCCATAGGAACTTGACCTTTGTGGCGTTGAGGCTTAAAGGACGTAGCAGCTAGTCTTGGGGACTTACAACCCAACTTTTCACGGCGCTAACGCCCACCAGAGTATTTAGAGGTGCGAAGTAAAGCCTAACTAATCCCAGGGCACTGGTTAAGGATACGAAGTCAAAAAGGCAACCTGCTCTTCTGGGGCTTGGGCGAGTGGATCTTCTTACAGTGAGTGGACAGCATCATGTACGTCCCTGATTATAGTACGCTACCACTAGTTTTCTGGAGGATTAGGTGTATGGTAGTTCCATCGGGGAATCCGATATAGAACCCAGCATACCGTCATCCTTATATTGAGGACTCCCAGCAGTGGACCTCCACTTGGTGGAAACACCCATACAGGGTCATGCAGGACATGTAGGTCTGCGGCTGCTACTCATGAGCTTGTCATGGAGCTGGATCGCCTGCAGCTTAGAATGTCGAGAGTTTTCAAAAGCTTGGAGTTGGAAGCCAGGAGGCGGCTTAGAATTTTGGTGTTTTGGGGTTTACTCCTTGATGCTTTGGGGCTTCG